ATTTTCACTGTATTGACTTTCCCTGTGTACAAGATATGGCGTAGGACGTTCTCTGCCGTTACGCTTAAACTGTCACTTTGGATGTTTCTAGCAGCCCACCTTTTGGCGGAAAGTAGGTTTAGAATGACATCAAGAACATACACAGGGGATTTAAGGTACCTCGGAGGCCTGATGCAGAGTGATTAGCTCTCGGTACCACAGTTTTCGCGTTCGAGTCCCGGTGGTCCCACGGATGTTTGTTATGGTTCGGAAACCATTTTCTTGAATCCATCCGGTCTAATATGACATAAAGCGTTGGCCATAGGTCTGACAACCCTACCCCCTAAAAAGTCAGCATCATGGAACCAAGTCAGATTTCTACCTACAGGTGCTCCGTCACAACAAAAGCTGCACCCTCCCCCCTGTCCATGAAACCAGTTCACCACACGCGTTCTTGGACTTAGTCTAGATCAAGGATGGGCAAACATTTTCGGTCGCGGGCCAAAAATCGAAAAAAAAAAGTTTGGCGGGCCAAGATAAATTTTTCCACAATTTTTAAAACAATATACAAGTATTGCAATTTAAATATTTTAATGAGAGGAATGAAATTGCGATTTCTTTTTTAAAAGTTTAAAAAAACCGCTTGCTGGAGCTTAAAATGCGCAGCCGGCCACATGTGAGGTCAAATTCACCTATATTGGATTTCCATATGTCTGCTCCCCGATAATGATATAACGTTTGTTGGCATCAATCTACAGCTATAACTAACAAAGAAATTCCGCTTTTAACACTTTACTGATTGAAAGTTGTCTGTGCTTGTTATTTCCTTCGATTTATGTTTTGTAGAACAAAAATAGAGAAAGCAAAACGTTTATCAGTCCTTTGAAAAAAAATAATAATAATATTTAATTAAAGTAGAAAAGGAGATGGATATATAATATATACATATATATTTCTTTTAATTTGCTTCGGACCGGAAAATTAAAACTCTATCCGTGGGCCGGATAGAACCCTCCTGCAGGCCGTAGTTTGACCATCCCTGGTCTAGATGTTGTTGGCTGCCAAATGGGATAAGAAACAAGGTACCTCTAGAGACAAAAATCATATGTGGTCATTGATGTTCAGGGAACGAAAAGACGTAAAATGTATCTTTAGTGTGCAAAATTCCTAGGAGGTACTGACAGCAGCGCCAAAATCTCTTCCTTCGGTGATTTTTGGTATTTTTTTTATTTCATTTCTTGTGCCTTCCACAGTCTTTGTGCGAAATTTGGATTTGTTTCGTACATTAGTTTTTAGCTACAAAAAAGAAACTTCTTCTATGGCCACCCTGTCTAAATTTTTGCATGCCTTAATGGCCATTAGAAATATTTTTATCTCTCTAATAGTCCGAAATTTGAGATTTTAAAGATCGCTATCATTAAATTAACATTTCGAAATAGCTGAATAAGCTGGAATTCATCGGATTAAAATCGAATTTACTTTTCATTTTCTCCAGAAAAAAACATTATTTTTGATCGCTTTATCAATTGAAGTAAATATTATTGTTGATAAAATTTTAGTTACATTGTCAGTTTTAACTTCTAATGTCCTGGTGATCATTTTTTATTATGATCTTCTTGACTGCGTGTCATTCACTATAAAGCGTTCCTGAAAATATTGAATAAAAGGTAAATGAATTTTCAAAAAAATTTTTATTTTAAAGAATATCATTGGTTTTTGCTTCTAATAATAATTCTTCTAACTTACGTCTAATGATATTCATTTTTTAATTTTTTAATTTCATTTACTTTATGATTCTCCTAAAAACTAATGTTAGACATTTAACTTTTGAATATAAACTTCAACATTTCCAAATATATAAGAAAATTAATTAATGAGTTAAGTAATTAATTTTTTGCACTAAAATTGATATTTATGCTTTAAAAACAACACTTTCTGAACACACGGGTGAATCGTTGTGTGAGAAAAGAAATATTTCTTTTCTAGTAGTATAGTTTTAGAAAAACAGATTTTTATTGCTATACATCCTGTTTCAGTGATATATACCGCGAGCAATTAAATTTCATTTATGCATACCACATTTATGTACATTATATATACTCCACTAACTGATGGCTGAGTGACTGGCGTTGGGATCGAATCTCGTCTGTGCAATGGATGTTTGTAAGGATTCTATATCCCCTTTAATGTATAGGATTCTAATAAAAAAACTCTAATATGACTAAATATACTATAATATGACTACTACTACTACACCACACCACATTACTCTGATTGATCTTTGTGACTCTCTACGGTCATACGAGACCCGGACCTACGGCTTAAAGTGGATTTCGAACCACTACAAACATCCATGGCACCGCCGGGACTTGAATCCAAAACCTGTGATACCGAGCACCAGAGCGCTAGTCACTCGCCCATCAGGCCCCCCACTCTAATATGTCTGTAGAGCGTTGAGCGCAGGGCTGAAAACACTACCCAGTAAAAACAAAACATCTCCTAGAAATCTGACGCAGGCAGACGGTCTTGACCCACCATGGGGCTGTTGCACCAATAAAGTAGTTGAAAAATGTATGTCCTACTAAACGATGAAAAAAGAGCATTACTTTCTCAGAGGACTTTTGCTGATAGTTGTCCTTTGTTAGCGTTTCGTACAAGAACAAAACAAACCCATAAAACCAGACAACTTGATTGTTGATGGTAGACGTATATTTGCTTTTTCACAATCACAATCGAGTCTCCTCATTTATGAAAGCAATTACTAGAACGAACGCCAGAGGTTTGAATCAAATGAAAAAGATTATGTTAAGGATAGTTTTATCTAAATATATACACTGAAGTGACAAAAGTCATGGGATACCTCTTAATATCGTGTCGGCCCTCCTTTCGCCCGGCGAAGTGCAGCAACTCGACGTGGCATGGACTCAACAAGTCGTTGGAAGTCTTCTGCAGGAATATTGAGCCATGCTGTGTCGATAGACGTCCATAATTGTGAAAGCGTTGATGGTGCGGGATTTTGAGCACGAACAGACCTCTCGATGATGTCCCATAAATGCTCGATGGGATTCATGTCGGGCGATCTAGGTGGCCAGATCATTCGTTGGAATTGTCCAGAATGTTCTTCAAACTAATCGCGAACAGTTGTGGCTCGGTGACATGGCGCATTGTCATCCATAAAAATCCCATCGTTGTTTGGGTACATGAAGTCCATGAATGGCTGCAAGTGATCTCCAAGTAGCTGAACATAAGCATTTCCAGTCAATGTTCGGTCCAGTCGCACCAGAGGACCAAGTCCATGCCATGAAAAACAGCCCACACCATTACGGAGCCACCACCAGCTTGAACAGTGCCTTGCTGACAGTTTGGGTCCATGGCTTCGTGGGGTCTGCGCCACACTCGAACCCTACCATCAGCTCTTACCAACTGAAATCGTGACTCATCGGACCAGGCCACGGTTTTCCATTCAACTAGGGACCAACCGATTTGCTCACGTGCCCACGAGAGTCGCTGCAAGCGATGTCGTTCTGTCAGTAAGGGCACTCGAGTCGGTCTTCTGCTGGAATAGCCCAAGAAAGCCAAATTTCTCCGCACAGTTCTAACAGACAAGTCCCGTGTACGTCCCACATTGATTTCTGCGGTTATTTGACGCAGTGTTGCTTGTCTGTTAGAATTTACGATTCTTTGCAGACGTCGCCGGTCTCGGTCGTTAAGTGCAGGCGGTCGACCACTGCGCTGTCCATGGTGGGATGTTATGCCTGAAATTTCATACTCTCGGCACACATTTGACACAGTGGATCTGGGAATGTTGAATTCCCTAACGATTTCCGAAATGGCATGACCCATGCATCTAGCTCCAACTAACATTCCGCGTTCAAAGTCTGTTAATTCCCGTCGTGCGGTCATCATCACGTCAGAATCTCTTCACATGAATAACTTGAACAGAAATGAAAGCTCTGCGAAATCACTGCGCATTTATACCTGTTCTACGCGATGCTACTGCCATCTGAAAATTTGCATATTGCTATCCCATGACTTTTGTCACTTCAGTGTATTTATATGTTTTGTTTTTATAGTTCTCTGTTTACAAAATAGTCTGTGTACGCGTGAATGTTTTCTAAAACCTTAAAATTTTAGTCATTTTCCTTCTTTGCATTGTCTATGTATTCTTCTTTGCATTTTGTTAGTTTTTTTATTAACAACAGACCCATGCATTTTCTATGTAAAATAAGATTTTTGAAAACTGTATTCTAGAAACTTCTCGTTTTCTCAGAATGTCGTTATTATCCTCGAAAATTTGTAAAAAAAATTTTAATAATGTTGTAGATAAAGGAATTAAAATTTGTTGAAAATTATTTGAAAACTTCAAAACTGAGAGATCCAATTATTTTTCTAAATATGCTGTTTATTTAGTGCATTTTCAGAAATAATCTTAGAATTCTCTAAAGTCCATTTTTTTTTTTACGTACCTATAATCGTTTAAATCAAACAACCATAAAATAATATTTAACATGCAGAAGCAAAATTAATTGGAAAATTGTTTGCTTTACATTTATATAGTTGTAGTAAATATTGTGTCAATATTTGATTAAAAGATATTACAAACATTTTTTATTTAACTTTTAAAATATTTAAGTTAAGTTGGTAAAACATTTTGTGTTTGCGATCAATTTTTTTAATTTCTTTGTTTTGTTGTTTTGTTATTTTAATCAAACATTTTCTCTGAATTCCTTTGCAGATATTTATTTTTCCTTAATTATATTGACAGAAGTAATATATATATTAATTATTAATAATAGGACCAACGGCCGTACCATGCTGAATATACCGGTTCTCGTTAGATCACCGAAGTCAAGTCATTTGAGGGGGGTGGGAAAGGGGCGCCAGAGCCAAAAAGCTTAATCCCCATTGTCTAAAAAGTGCATGAGAGATTTAAATAAATTATAATGAGGGACATAATACTAATAAATGAAGAGAGGGTAGGGGGGGAGGGGGGTACACTTACGTGACTTGATTTCGGGGTACCACCGAAGTCAAGCATCATTGGGCGCGGTCAGTACTTGGGTGGGTGACCACCTGGGAACACTGCGTGCCGTTGGCAAATTTGGGACCTGAATGGCCGAGTGTCTAGCGCTCTGGCGCTCGGTGCTACAGGTTTCGGGTTCGAATCCCGGCGGTGCCAGGGATGTTTGTAGTGGTTCGGAATCCACTTTAAGCCGTAGGTCCCAGTCTCCTATGACTGTAAGAGCGTCACGGAGCAAAAGTCAGGCTTCTACCTACGGGTGCTCCATCACAACAGAAGCTGCTTCCTTCCCCTTCAATCATGAGTCCATATGGGCTCGTGGGCTTGGCCAGCCAAGTGGGATTAGAAACAACAACAACATTATTAATAATATATAGATATTCAATGATCCTCTAGGCAACGCTAAATCTTACCTGTTAGTTCATAATAAAGCCATCGATGCTGTACAACATATTCATATGCATTTAGCAAATTAGAAAACAGTTGCAAAGGTTAGATGCAAGTCAAAAGAGTTTTGCAGATAAATGAAAAGTCATGTCATCTTATTTCATTTTATTAATACTAAATTTAAGGGATTTAAAGAGGTGTAATCCAGATCCTGAAGGCGATAGAAGATAACAGGTGGGCTGAAACGTTCATAGGCTGACACATAGATGATGCTACTAGTATTAAATCCATATGATGTTTAGTTAGCCATAGTCTTCAAGAGACACTTGTATGAATTTGACAGCTGTTACACTATTAGTATGTGAGTTATAGCATTTTTAGTGAAGCAACTGTTGTTAATTTGAAAAAATGGATAAAAAGGAATTTCGTGTGTTAATAAAGCATTGCTTTTTGGAGAAAAAAAATACTATTGAAGCCAAGGATTGGCTTGATAAACATTATTGCACCAGAAAAATCAACCGTAGAGAAGGGGTTTGCTAAATTTAAACGAGGCGAAATGAGCACCGAGGACGTTGCACGCAGTGGACGCCACAAAGAGGCTGTTACCGAAGAAAACATCAAAAAAGTTCACAAAATAATTTCTGATAACCGTAAAGTGAAGTTGATTGAGATAGCTGAGACCCTAAGGATATCAAAGGAACGAGTTGGACATATCGTGAATGAATATTTGGATATGTGAAAGCTCTATTCAAGGTGGGTGCCGCGCGTGCTCACAATTGACCAAAAAACAACAACGAATTGATGATTCTAAGCAGTGTTTGGAGCTGTTCAGTCGTAATAAACCCGAATTTTTTCTTCGATATGTGACAATGGTTGAAACATGGCTCCATCATTTCACACCGGAGTCCAATCGACAGTCAGCCGAGTGAACTGCACGTGATGAACACTAGAAAATACTATAACTTCATTAAAAATACTATAACTCACAGTAACTAAATAGTGCAACAACTGTCAAATTTATACATGTGTCTTTTGCAGGTTAGGGCTAACTAAAAATTATATGGATTTAATACTAGTAGCGCCATCTATGTGTAATCCTACGAACTTTTCAGCCCATCTGTTAGAAGTGTCGTACGTCCAAGAGTTTTCACCAAAATTATTTAGTTAATTGTAGCTTAAACGGTAACCTTAAATACTTAAATATTCAATTAATGCAGAAATTATCTTAAGTTATTGTAAAATGAAAGCATCACGTACTTATTTTCGTTAAGTAATAATATTACTTGTTTTCTTTAAATATTCTAAACTGTTTGGGCCTTATGGCCGGATGACTAGCTCTCTGGCACTCAGTACAACAGGTTTCGTAATGGTGAAGAACGCATTATAAACTGTAGGTCCACTCTAATATAACTGTTGGGCGTAGGGCTGACATCCCTACTCGGTAAAAAGAAAAAAGTGTCTCGAAATGCGGTTCAGCATGGAAATGTTGCGCCAATGAAAAAGGAGAATAAAACGATGGAGCAATTCATAGATAACAATTCATAAAATTGCTCCATTAGTAACATATTATTTTTCTTTCTTTCTAATACAGCTGGCAAACACTTAGACAGCTTGGTCTTGGATGCCTTAAGGCAAATGCTGCACAGACGTTACTCACTTTGCATTACCCAGGGGACGCGTGTAACTTGAAGATAAGCCACGGACGCGGAGTAACAAAGCTCTACGATCCTATTAGACCGGGACCTATGGTTTAAAGTGGATTCCGAAACAGTACAAACATCCATGGCACTGCCGGGAGTCGAACCCGAAACCTGTGGTACCGAGCGCCAGCCACTCGGCCATTTAGGGCTCAGTAACATATTATTAAATTACGCATTTTTTTAGCAAAAGTCCTTTTACTTAATCGAAAACGTATTTGCGTGTCGTATTGGAGAAAACCAGGAAAACTCACACAGGCTACTTGACGATCGATGCTTTTACGCGCATTTTTCCAATCTCCATCGAATGTATTGGTTTCTGAAAACAGTGACCATAATAAAGCCGGCAGTGGATTCGAATGTTCCATCTTCTTACATGCTAGCTTATTATACTAGGCCACGAGTCGGGTCTCTTTATATCCTAGTATTTATAATGCGGATATTTACGGCTCTTTGTGGTACAGAAAGTACCTTTTCTCGGGCTTAATACGAATGATTAAATAGGATCTTGTAGTTAAAAAAGTGTTCTAGTATGACGCAAACAAAAGTATTTGCTTTTTTGAGTCAGTACGATGACAAAACAACGTAAGTTTTAAAGACAGAAATATCATTAGAGCACTCTTCTGTTGTCGCAATTCCAGATTAGATATCCAAGTAAATGGGCCTGAATGGCCGAGTGGCTGAATGGCTCTGGCGCTCGGTACCACAGGTTTAAGGTTCAAGTCCCGGCGTTGCCATGGATGTTTGTAGTGGTTGGGAATCCACTTTAAACTATAGGTCCCAGTCTAATAGGATCGTAGAGCGTTTCGGGGGCATTGTTACTCCGCGTCCGTGGCTTATCTTCAAGTTGCACGCGCCCCCTGGGTAATGCAAAGTGAGTAACATCTGCGCAGCGCTTGCCGTACGGCATCCAAGACAGCTGTCTAAGTGTTTGCCAGCTGCATAAGAGGAGAAAAAAATCCAAGTACATATCTGTATTAGACGTTCTCTTCCCCTCGATGCCACAGGTTTTGGGTTCGAGTCCCGGCGGGACCATGGATGATTGTAGTGGTTCGGAATACACTTTAAACCGTAGGTCTCGGTCTCATATGTTCTGCCAACGGGTTCCTGTTCTACCAACGGGTCCCTGTCTAATACGACTGTAAAGCATTAAGCTCACAATCATACCTCGCAAAATGAAAGCATATCCTTTCTCGAATTCCGTCAATAGGCAGACGGCCTTGGCCCACCACGGTCTTGTTGCACCATTGATGATGATCTATATTAATTATTTGTTAGAATATATAACTTGATTAGATTAGGTAAACATTTCATTTTACTGTCTTCTTGTATAAAGCATAAAAGTGAATGTTATATTTAAATAAATAAATAAATACATTATATAGGTAGATATGCATTCACTTTTATAAGCGCAATGCCATTTCGAACCATTACGAATTTTTAACTGACAGAAATATAATTAGATACATTACTGTTGCTCACATCCAGAATAAAGTTTAAAAAACATTATATATATATATATATATATATATATATATATTGAATATATTGGATTAATTTTAGATTAGATGTCGGGTTTAAAAAAAATCTTTAATTCTTCTCATATCAATTGATTTAATCTGAAGTATTTGTTGTCGTTTTTAATGCTTTGATGGTCATTGATATAGCCTTTTAATATCGTTTATTGTACCATGCCCCCATTTTTTATAAAAAAAAACCATTCTTTTATAAAAAGTGTTTTATCAAATTTCTCAGTGATTGTCCAATGATAACAACTTGAGACAGTGTTTCTAGATTAACCATTTTTACTGTTGTGAGACCTTATTTAAGTAAAACTCTATTTATATATATCACAGCCATTTCTCCTTCAAAGAAATTTGTGAGGTAAAATTTTCATATTGTTTTAATTCAGAATTAATTTTATAATAAAATAATATTCTGGTCTAAATTAATTTCTATAATAATAAATTTGTTATATATTACTCCAGATAAAGTTAAATGCCTGCTTCTAACATAAAATTTGAATCTGTAAAAAATTATGCAAAAATTTAAGAGATATGAGAAAATTCAAAAATGTTTCATTAACTACTTTGTTTTTCTAATTATTGGTACAAATTTTTGAATTTGAATAAAAAATAATAATTTAAGCAATCTAAAATTAGGGTCATTCTTTATTCGCACATGAAAATCAGAAAGGCATAACTCACGGTTCTGATAAGTATAAATATAAATATAATTACGGCCATGCCATGCTGAATATACCGGTCCTCGTTAGATCACCGAAGTTAAGCATCATTGGGCGCGGTCAGTACTTGGGTGGGTGACCTCCTGGGAACACCGCGTGCCGTTGGCAATTCACAAACTGGGGACCTGAATGGCCGAGTGTCTAGCGCTCTGGCGCTCGGTGCCACAGGTTTCGGGTTCGAATCCCGGCGGTGCCATGGATGTTTGTAGTGGTTCGGAATCCACTTTAAGCCGTAGGTCCCTGTCTCTTATGACTGTAAGAGCGTCACGGAGCCAAAGTCAGACTTCTACCTACGGGTGCTCCATCACAACAGAAGCTGCTTCCTTCCCCTTCAATCATGAGTACATGTGAGCTTGGCCAGCCAAGTGGGATAAAAAACAACAACATAAATATAATAAGTATGTAAATATAATAAAAAATATGAATATAGTAAAAATATAAATATAATGAAAAATATAAATAAAATAAATCTGTAAATATAATGAAATATATAAATATAGAACAAATGTAAATACGAGTACAATAAAAAATATAAATATAATAAATATATAAATGTAATAAAAAATATAAATATAATAAATATATAAATATTATAAAAAATATAAATGAAGTAAAAATATAAATGTAATAAAATTTTAAATAAGGTAAAAATATAAATAAAGTGAAAATTTAAATATAATAAAAAAATATAAACATAATAAAAATATAACGACACTTTAATAAATATTAAAAAACATATAAAAAT